CAAAGTCCTTCCCAACAGAAGGAGGCAGTGAGGGGAGAGGGTGAGGAGTGGTGCTGAGAAAAAAGAGTGAGAGAGAAGAGAGGGGAGGAGACCTACAACATACTACATGCACTAAAGAAATGCCATGCTGAGGAGTGCAACCTTTATCCTATGAACAGTAGGGGGACAGGATGCTATGCAGGAGTTAAGAAGAGATTGCTTAACTCATCTCAGTCAATCAACTCTGAGTGATGGCTCTAAAACTTGTTTTTCCATATGCTTTTCCTGCTTATATGAGCCCTGAAGCACAGTGCAAGAGGGAAATGCTGTAAGAATGTTTAGAATTCTCAATTACCTCATGAATATTAACACTGTCTTTGCATGAATGTGGGTCTGCTAATCCTAAACAGCCTGTCCAGCCTCCATTTTGTAAGCTACGGTTCTGTATTCCTAAAGCAAGGTCAGAACTGCTGAGTCATAGGAGCCCAACCCTACAAGGTGACTTTCAGATCAAGTAAGAACATAAAGCTGGATCACCCTGGGAAGGGTCTGCATCAAGAGGTACACTGGGAATGCCTGGGGTGCTGATGACAGATGCATAAACTTACTCCTGACTTAGACATCACAAGGCATGATGGGAACACCTGGGGGGGCTGTTGACTGATGTATAACAAAGGACACAAAGGAGGCCAGAAGCTAACAATCAGTGGAACACCTTATTGATAAGATTGAAATCCTGACAGGGGAATCAGGGCTTGATCTACATGCCAAGCTATCAGCAGATGAGAAGTACAATTCCACCACTCCCTGCTTCTTGTAATTCTCCCTCTCTTTTTCTACTTCCTCATAGGACTGATGCTGTGTTAACTGGTTTCTCAATAAAATGCCCAGGACTTGTTCTGGATACCCCTTCTTACACTTCCTTTAAAAGGAAGCAGCATCCTGCGTTATGTAGCCTGCTCCAAAGTTCCCATTTCTTTATCAATGTGGTGTTCCCCAAAACACCATTGTATTAAGAAAAACTGTATTAACACCACTGAATAAGAAATTTACCTTCTTAATATTAACCACAAAAAAAATAGAAGAGGAGAGATTGGTACTGTTGGGAGTGCCCAAAGATTTACTGACAAGGACTGAATTAGGGTGGTAATGAATTGAGCCTTGCATCCAAGCTTGATAAAGTAGTAGTAAACTGACCTTGAGATCCTGGATGGGACTAGCTGAAGGTGATAATGAACTGGGCCTCACATCAAGGACACAGCGATGAGTCACCCCTTTGGAATCTGAGTTCAGAATCTATATAAGAGACTCTTCCCCATTATTGGGTTAGCAGTAGCTGCGGACCCCACTCTAGGGGTTGGGTCTCAGCTGCTGTCCGGGAGCAATAAGCTCTGCTTGCTCAGCCTTTCTGCCTCCTGCCTTCCTTTCCTGCGGCCAGTCACAGAAGTTGGGACAAAACAGGTACTAGAGATGATGGACAGAATCAAGAGGCATTTCTGAAGTCTAAAACCAGTCTAATGGTGGTTTAAACACAGTTTCACAGACCAGGATCAATCCATGATGAATACTCTTCCAACCCAAGCAAAAAAACATTAAAAACAAGGAAAACACAGTTATGTTTTCCATAAATGGAATGAGTGACCCTATAATTTGGAGACTGAACTCCTTTGGAGAAGCTACATTAAAAATGTACTTTTATGAAATGATAACCATAGATACTGGTCACATAGATATCAGGTTATTTTCATAGAATATATTCTCCAGTGGGGGAATTTATGAATTAAGGCATTTAGCTGTTGTTATTTATCACAGATTGTAGCAGAAGGACAATATGCAGCAATGCCAGCATTTATGGAAATCCAACCAATAATGTGCTAAAATTATTTCCAGCAATTGGACAGGCAAAATCGTCTTAATTTCTATTCTATAAAGATATGCCCCTTCCTCACAATGATTCTGTGATTCAGCTTCCCCAATTGATCATTCCTCCTCACTTCCTGAGGACTCTTGGTACTGACCTTTGGGATCTCAGTTCTTTACATTTTGGGTGACTTAGACATCACAAGGCATGATGGGAACACCTGGGGGGTGTTTTAAACTACCCCATTACTTTCCCCCATGCTGTGGCATTCCATTTAATATTTATTTGTTGCCTTTGGCTGGGCAATTTTTCTTTTCTTCTTCAGATATTCAGGCACAACTGTCTTATGTATGATGATTTTCTCCACTGCTTCAGCAGCCCTAAGTTTATCTCCCCTGGACAGCTGGATTAAAAATGTTATTCCATTTGCTCCTAGTTATGCTACAGATTAATACAGTAGGCTCTAAAAACAGGTCTTTAAACTCTAAAATCAATATACTTTTAAAACTGCAGAACTTTCTGGTAGTAGTGAACTTTGCTAGGAACATCCCCAAAGTGGGCCTGCCCATCTCATAAAATGACAGGCATCAGAAAACTGGTATCCTGTTCAATCAGGAGCAATTTTGGGCATACATCTGCAAAGAGCAAAACTTTTAAACTCCCCCTTGACAGTAACGCCACTATACAACTCTCCAAACTTACGAAGTTTGTTTGCTAGACCTCAGCAAGCTCACGTAAAGATAATCTTCAGATCAGCAACAGACAAATCAATCACCTGGAGAGATAACTATTGCTCAAGAGTCTAAAAACCCAATTAAAACAGCTCTGGAGACAGTTGATCCAATTTTTCACGTAATGAATCTCCATGGGAAATTTCAGTCATTTCTTCCCATACATGGAAAATGGAGAGAAAATGATAGTGAAAAAAGCAGCATTTATGTAAATCACTTATCACTATCATACTACGTAATTTTTACGTATCTACATATGTAACATACAGAGGGGAAAAAACAAGTAAATGCATTGAAATGTTAATTGCTTTTTTGAAGAGATGTATAATTTTGGGTAAACTTGACTTTCTTCTATAGACTCTTTGCAGCATATATTTGCAATATATACTTAAACACTGTTATACACACATTCCCAAAGATATACTTTTATTCTTTTAAAAATTGACTTTAAGATGGAGGTAGAAAAGGTTATACTGCATTAACTCCTGTTGAAACAGAATCCTTATTTAGGCCACTGCTTACCTAATATAAGCATCCACCCACTCCCCTTTTGCATACAACCTACCATCACTTTTATGTCTATCAGAGTCAACACAATAAATTAAGAAGGTTCTCAAAATACCATAAACTTTCAACTTTTTTTTTTAAGAGACTTTAGTCTCTAAAGCACTTGGAAAAATATCTGCAATGAGGTTTACATAAGAGTCACATGATAGAATTGTGGTTATTCATTTAAGTACTTATCTGTAAATACAGAAACATTTACTGGCAATGGTAAATGATAAAATATTTTAAAATACTCTTGCAAATAAGAGTATTTTATCAAGAAATAAGTGGAGGAAGAGGAATGAAACAAGAACTTTCTGTTCTTAGAAATATTAACGCTAGGTGATGGATACCATTAACCATTCGATTTTGTGTATAAAGATTTTCCATAACAGGGCCCTCCCCACAGTACCAAGAAGCTTAAGGCACTTCTGCATGAGTTCAATCCCCGCCTGCCCCTGAGGAGATCGGCAAGGTGCTACCCTCCCGCTGCTCCCCTCAGCAGTGTACTTCATCCATCTGCCTGTTCTGCTCCCCACTCTGTTCCTGGTGAAGCCTCTCACCCTCCACATCTCTGGCCTGTACCCCAGTTCTGTATGAATAAATAAATCTTAAAAAAAAAAAAGATTTTCCATAACAGCATTATAAAGGGGCTATAAAAAATGAAAGGCAATATATACACATGTATACATGTGTATATCATTCAAATTAAGCTCACAGCCAAACTTTTTTCTAACTTCAGAGTAACTATTTTAAGGGATCATCTGACTATGTATTTTTATTAGAAAATACAAAATATGTGCATGTGTAGTTTATCAAGAAAAAAAAAATCATCTTTTACATGTATCTACAGATTTGATTCAAAAGATTGCAGATTTTCTGTCCTGGGCCAGAAAGAGACCAGATAGTTAGCATGGCCAGAAAGAGACCAGATAGTTAGCATTACTTGGCTTGTGACACTTAAAGAATAAAGTAAGATGCATACAAACTCAAACAGCAACAAGAGCCTATTCTAGGGAGTCCCACTGTCCTGTTTGACAGGTAGAAAGGGCTCAGCTACTTCTAACAAGACAAACGGGCCTAGTCCCAATCAGCTGCAAGGTGAAAAGTCTCGGTACTCAACAGAAGTTAGACAATCAACACCACTTACTTTCTATCCATCTGTTTTAATAACAGCTGCAAAGGATGATGTGAATATTAAGGCTGTGGAGTCCTCAAACTGATGACATTCCATTTTAGCAGAAGTCAAATGAAGACATAACCCCATAGAGGTTCAAGACATGAAGAGCTTTTTCGTCTGCATTATCACCAAGTGATTCCCAGCTCTCTTGAAAGGTGGTAAGGCCTGTATTAGGTACATCCTACAGGTGCAGAGACTAAGCTTCAAAAGACTTGTTCTGAAACAACAATCTGCCTCAAAGGACAATGTTCTTTCACTACCCAACACTCTCCTGGACATGTGTCTGTGACAGTGAGGTAAGCACCTCAGAAAGTAAACTATGTCAGAAAAGAAGGGGTATCAGCTGCAGACCTGACCCTTCCTAAATCTCAAAACATGCTCAATTACTTCCTGATCATCCATGATCTTGTACTGTCTATTATTTTGAGCACGGAGACTGAGTGGACTTCTGTTTACCCTCATGTTTCTTTGGATATGCTTTCTCTGTTTCCTGAACTCTGACAGAGGTCTCCCCGAAACTCACTTAACCCAAGACAGAAACAATTTATCTTCAGAAGGGAGTGCCATGATTGTGTGCCCCACAAGTTTGTTGCTAGTCCTCTCTCTCCATAGCAAGATGGTACAAAGGAAGAGAAGTGGTAGCGTAACAGGCAAGCCCTCGAGTCCCATGGACCACTTAACCTAGTAGGAGAGCAGAGCCTACCTCTCTGACTTCGTGAAGCTGGCCGGAATACTGACTCTTGGCTCTTCGGGCGGCTGCAGGCGACTTGTGATGCGTGACTGTGACAACACCGGGCGCCCCCGCACTGAGGTGTCTCTGGCTACAGGGAGACGCAGAATTGGGTGTTCCATGGGGAAGCAAAGTGAGACTTCGGCTTCGGGAGCTTGGAGTAGTCTAGAATAAGCAACAGGTGTCAAAACTCAACAACCGACCTGTAGAACACAACTAAGTGTTGGCTTCCATATCCTGGATTTCTTAATCTTTTCCCTTTAACTTTTCAGAGGGGTGAAAGCATGGCAAGGTACAACACTTCCACATGCCCAAACCCCAGACTGACTTTAAGAGAGACAAGCTCTGGGAATAATCCTGTTCTCATCTGCAATTGTGTGTCCTGTTCTACAGCAGGTCATGAAGAGCTGCTCAATCTCCCCATAACACCAAGGACCCGCATGGCTCTGTGCCTCTGACTGATTACTTTGCCTTCCTAAATGTTCTTTCTCTCCTGGCTGGACAACTCTCTTTGAACCTGTAAGACTCAGCTCACTGCTCTCTGCTGCGTGAAACCTCTCCCTGCATTTCTCAGTCTCTCCAGTTCTCTTATTTCAGTACCTCAAGATTATTCCTTGTCTAGCTACTTTCTTAAATATTTAGTAAATGTATACTGCTTAAGTGATCATACGAAATATCCACCAGTTAATCCTCCTTTGTTAGTAAAGTGCTTACATTTCATCATCTAGTAATATAAAATCCAGTTTATGAGAAAGATGGCATTTCAACCTAGTGGAAATGAATTTTTCAGTAACGGGTGTTAAAATCATGTGGCAGTCATCTAAAAAAAAAAACAATATTCATCTCTCAGATTATGGACCTTGAAGGAGAAAGAAAAGAAGGAAAGGACAAGAAATGCCAGGAAAGGATACAAAAAAGCACTAAAAGAAAGACGCAGACTTGGAACAGCAAAGATTTAAAACCTTACAATCCAAAAGCCATAAAAGAAAAGCCTAGTGAATTCGATTACCTAAAAACTCACAGACTCTGGCACCTAAGACCATCAGGCCTCTTGTTTTAATTACCTAAAAACTGAAAACTGACACACAAGAAATGAATTTTAAAAACACACTCCCACCACCAACAAACTCAAGTAATAAATCAAGAAAAGTATTTTCATTTTCACAGACAAAAGGATCATCATTCAAATTTTGACTATGAATATATATTTACGGTAATATATATGAATGACAAACTATTGTTAAAATATGGCAAGATATGAACAGCTCCTAAAATGCATAAATGGCCCTAAAAACAAAATGGAAATATACCCAACTCTACATAAAACAACATATATAAATTCAAACTACATTTAGATACCATCTTCCACTCATCAAATTGGCAGAAATCGTAGGCTTGAATACCTCTCCGTTGTGAGATACTTGTGTGGGTGTATAATCCCCTGAGGAGGGCAATCTGGCAGTACCTGGCACAGGTGCAACTTACTGCCCTGTGCTTCAGGGAGAGTGTCCTCCAGATATACCTGCTTTCAGGTGAAACAGCACAGGCACACATTCATCACAGCAGCAGTATGGTTAACAGTAAAAGAAGGGAAGCAATCCAACCCATCGATATGAAGAGTGGGGGTAGAGTTTTTTCCTACTCTTTATATTCTTTTATTTGAACCACGTGAATGTGTCAGCAATTCAGCATTTTTAAAAGTCTGCATAAAATTTACATTCTCAATATTGCCGTATACATTATGCAGCTTCAGAATGCAGTTAGATTTTTTTTTGTTGGATTCATACCAGCTTATATATGTCAGATACTATTTAGTGAGCACATACTATGTCCAAGAAGATCTAATTAATAAGTAGAGAAGTAGGGAGACTTATACGACAACCTTTCACAACAGACACTCACAGTACTGCTGGGAATATTAGAGACAAAGCAGAAAACACTCCCCTCCACACACACAGTAGGGAAGATCATAAATAGGTGCTTATTTGCAATACAGCCAGAAAAAGCAAAAGAACTAAGCAAGACAGGGATCAATGACAGCTGACTCATCACAGTTAGCTGTTCTGAGGACAAAGGACTTGAAGCCCCAGTAGGATATGAGAAGATAGAGACATTTGCAGCTATACACAAAACAACCCAGACATCTGAAGCAGTCTTAGCCTCCAGCCTAGGCTAACAGTCATAGCTCTAAAAATTGCTAAATGTTAGTTAATCATCTATAATTTTATGAATCACCATGGAGCTGGAAAGCAAAGGTAGAAATCAGAATTTTGCATTACCTTGTTAACATATCTTTTAAAGGTCTTCTGAATTTGAACTTGAGTATGATTTATGGGCATACAAAGTGGGAAGAGGTATACTGCTTCTAAATAACTTCTTATGTAGGTAGCAGTGGAAATTCATGGCCTAAGATTTACATATACCTCAATGACAATAAAAGACAACCATATGCTTTCAACTTCAATCTTTACCCATAGAGGATGGAGGGGGAAAGAAGGTAATTCTTTAAACCTTTAATAACCATAAATTTACCTAAACATAAAGAAGCTACTGAAATACATTTTGATGGCTTGCCTTATTCCAAACAAAAACAGGTAGAATTATCACTGAGTTTTGAAGACAGGATAGACAAGGTTCACAGGTGAAATCTGAGTGAGTTATTTAGTTGTGCTTATTAAGCATCAACTTCCTAATCTATAAAAAAGGAATAATAATATTGACCATTAAGAGACATCATGAAGATTAAATTAGATCACGCACATAAAATGCCTGGCACAGTGGCTAACATGCAGGAGCTATGTTAAGTTTCTTTCCTGACATCACTTAAAACTTGATAAATGAAGACTTTATTGATTTCTTTAAATGTTAAGAAGTCACTTAGCAAAAAACTATAAGCAGCCACTGATCGCTGCTTCTTTTCTATAGGATCGAAGTGGTGATGGAGCCCAAAATATAATTAAAACACTTACTGCGCGGCCAGCAGTTAAATAGCAGGACTGTGGGTGTGGGGGAGAGGACACTTTTAAATTCTGAGTAGAATGAGAACCCATCAGAAACAGGGTGGAAGACAGTACTGGTAATAGGCATCTTTGCCAGGAGCAATATCACTGTAAATGGTAATAAATCAAGAAATTCACCCAGGAGCCAAATTATTCCGCTGTGGATGTCTAACCCCATGATCATTACTTAATGGCTGTCATTTGAATTCACCAGCAGTAAATTTAAGTTGAAAAACCTTTAATTTTCCATTAACTGTGGAATTCTCACAGTTTAACTCACACCCGCTTCTCCTTCTCAAGGAACAGAAGAGCAAAAGTCTTAATTATTGGCAAACCCCATAGGTCATCAGGCACTAGGAGAGAAAATGAGAAAAGGCAGCAGACTGCACCTACTATAAACAAGTCAGGGCATTCCAAAATGCAGCCCAAAATTTCCAGGTTTTGTTTTCAAACCATGTTTAGATGCCACACACACACCCTTGCTACTAATTTAAAATATTATCAGAATTCGAGAAGCAACATGGTGGGTTTTTGTTCCAAATATTTTCTTCTCTGGGGGTGGCAAGAAATGCCAAGCATGCCATCTGTGGAAATTTCTTAAGTCAGGGGTAATGGCTTCTATCTGGAAGTAGGATTCATCCTCTACCTCCGAAAATCATCCCTTCAGCCATTATCTGCCTGGTAAGTGGTATAATGCCAAAGGAAGGAATGTGGTCTAGGTGAGCCCACATATGCTCAGATGCAGCTCAGACATCCGATATGCGAGCAGGTTCCAGGGATTAGCCAACCTCTTGATATTCTCTACATTCTTTACTAGATTCCTAAACTTCCCAAGGTTGCCAGAGGGAAGGATGGATGGGACAGATGAATGGATGGGCAGACAGACACAATCACACAATCACCTGGCTAAAACTGGCATAAAGAAAGGTCTGATTGGAAAGAAGAAAAGAATCTAGAGAGAATATGTCCAGTCAGACAAATCAAGCAACAAGCCGGAGTGGTAGAGAGTCTAGTCTGGAAAGGTTGGAGCAGAAGCCCGGG